AATGTAAGATTATCTTGCCCAAAATGCTCCCAGCACCCCTCCTGAGAAACACTGGCACCTAGCCAAACTCTACAAATTCCTCAGGAATCAGCCTAGGTACCATTTTTGGGGGGAATTCTATTCTGATTCATATATATTGACTTAGTTACTGCTTTTATCTGCTTCTATAATAGGAGTATGCTGAACCTACCCCTATCTTTATATTTATCACCATGTAAAATAATTAACTGTTTATGTGTTTGTTATGCCTACCAGAAAAAATTTCTAATTTGTCCTGTGCTACAAAAATGGTAAAATCCTAAATGCTTAAATATGCTTACCAGCGTGAGCAACCCCACATGCTTTTTTGACAGGATCTGCAAAAATTATCGGTATACAGTCAGCACCAAGAGCTGCTATGGTGACTCCTCTCTGATTTGTGGTGATTCCATCATAAGATTCCGGCTCCTTCCTTCCCATAACCCAGACGTCATTGGCATGATCTGTCTAATACCAAAGATGTGCAATAAAAATGTTTTGAAAGTAGGATTTATCATACCATAAGTTTTTCTGAAAGTATTCATTTTGTACAAAATTATATAACCAGTTTAAGATTACTAGCATTTATTAAATATATCCCTTCTATATATGGTAAAATACCAATTTATTATCATTTAACTTTTGGTATTATAAGTTCTGTATATTTTATTCAAAGGAAAGCAGACTTTAACATGTTAAAATTCAATACTGTCCTTCATGAATACCTCCTACTAGAGATGGGTCTCTACATGTAGTACTTTCCACCATGAGCTAATGCATTGAAAGAAATTAATTACCAAGTCAATGATACTTTTCCTTTTCCTAGATTCAATTAAACCTAGAATTCTGTAACAAACAAAGCACTGTCTCATCAATTGTACCCTGGTGTTAACTTAGAAAAGAATGGCCTTTCTCTTCCACAGTTCAGGAACCTTTCTTCTAAATCAAAAAGGGCAGTGGTACTATATTCTCTGAGAGTTACTGTACTCTTACATGTGAGGAGCTCCAGGTGAATATATACATATATATTCCCATAGAATTGTCATATATGTGTGTGTGTGTGTATATATATACGTATATATATGTATATATATATATATACACACACACATATTTTTAGGCTATGGTATACGAATCAAAAAACACCTACTTTAAGAATTATCCTAACGTTTTACATAAAACACCAGATGCAAAAATTAAATAGCTTGATTAAGGTCCATTAATCATTAGCAGAGTTAGTAATATACTTCAGATCTTCCAAAATATGAAACATAATTTTACCTTTATTCTGTAAAATTTCTTCACATTAAATCCTGCAGCACTCCCCAACCTACGCAGATTTTCTTGAACAACTACCCGGGGATCTCTTCGTTTGGAGCTACTGAAGAGATTGAATGAGCTGAGAGTTGGTATGTAAGATATCCCACCTGTTCTTGTAGTAAATCCATGTATGAAAATGTCTGTTGAAGATAAGTAATGAAGATTATAAGTATGTTATACAAAAGACTATAAAAAGCATTAAAGATGCTATTTCTTGGTAAGACTTTCCCTGATTATTTCAGCCTGCTTTTGTTTATCTGGCACCTAATTTTTATAGCACTTTGTCCGGATGTTCTTAGTATACACTGCTTTGTGTTTGTTTTAACTTTCCTATGGATTTATTGCTCTTCAAAGGGTATCATCTGTCCCAGTTGTCTTTGTTATTCCCAATAGTCTATAGCTCACAATAAATATCATTTAACCAAGAAGATTGACTGTTTTAAATTTCACTATTCTGTAATGATGACAATGAGTTAAGATTTCAGAATTGCTAAACAGGAAATATCATTTAAAGGAAGCCTGGGGATTTGTCTTAAAGCTAATTTGCATAAAGCAAATGTATTTATGTAGAGGGCTTTTAAGGGACTATCCCTTAATATCCCTAACACTACCAGACCACCCATGACATTCCCATGTTTCAACTGATGGTAATGAGCACATAAGCCCAGTCTACAAAAGAAAGAAGGAAAAAAAGAAGTGAACAACTTCTAAAGAATGACCGGTTTTTCACATGCCTGGTGAAAACAACAGATAGTGTGTAATATACCTGAGATCAAAGGAGTCGTGAGGATGGTTAACTCTCCTTTCAGTGCCGGCAGACTTCTCAAATATGTTTCTATTTCATTCTGTATAGCTTCTAGTTCTTGAGTTGTGATCATGCTTATCTCAGTGGACTGTTTCAAAAGACCTCCCTTCAACGTTACCTGTAAATCTTCAAACTCAAAATTGTAAACATCAGTGAAGAGTTGATCAATAAAAGCCTTCATTAACGTCTTCCGCTGCATGGGTACCATTACCTTAATGCTGCTCAGGTTTTTTTCATCAATTTTCTGTTTAATGGTATACAAAGAGGCAGCCATACTGGGATTGCTAACAATCTCAAATTCTCTCAAGAGAGCTGACAATCCATTGGTTGTTTCTAATTCATAAGTATCAAGGTGACCGTTCCTTTCACAGCTGATGTTACTGCAACACATTATGCAAAGGAGCTTGGCCTTGGCAGCATGGTGGGATCTGACAGCACCCAATGTCTTCAGTAATGTCGGATAGTTTTCCTGAGAGTTCAATGCCAAACCAAATAGATCAATCAACACTGCTTCTGCCATCCTGCAGTAACTGTACAAAGCTCTTCAAAGAAGACTTTTGTGCTCCCCCCAAATCACCTGTAACAAAATATTAGCATAAATAAGAATGCAAAATTAGATCAATCCTATAGTTACAACAGAAATATATGGCTGGGGGGGGGGGGGGGAGAATCGCATTGATCTAAAAATGTGACCAAAATTGTAACACTAGACCCCTCCCAGAAAAGTCAGAAAACTGTCATAAGAGAATCATGACAATTAAAGCAAAGTTATTTCCTAATTCATCTTCCAAAAGGATGTGTACATCTTTCCAGAAAGGCAGCAGTTCCTCTGTTTTTGTTTTCATACAGGGAATTTTAAATAGGAATCTACCTGTTGACTTAGACAAAGTCCTGTTTTTTTAACGACATGGCATCAATGCATGTGATATGTCATCAATCCTGACATGACTGCCAGGGTCGGTCACATCCCTTCATGAGAAATACGGGGGCCTTGCATTCAGTCGGCTAAACGGAGCCGCACTTTAAAAATCGCGTTTTTAGGAGATAACGCCGAAGTGACTATGCGTTTCTCGCCAGGGTTGACACAATCCCCAGGCCGGCAATTGCCACGGAGCGGCTGGGACTGTGCGAGAGGCCCTGCCGCCCGCTCCCTCCGCCTCCCAGCCGGGTCCCCGCACCTCCGTCCCCGCCCGCCCGCCCGCCCGCGGCTGGGACCCGCTCCGCCCTCGCAGTAACCGGGGAACTCCGGCAGCGCCCGGAGAGTGGAGTCAGCTTTCCCACCGGCGGGCTTGGCGGACAGAAGCTACACAGTTCGGTCCCATTAAAAATGCACCCGCACGGCAGCAGCGGGTGGGCGCGTCTGGTCTCCGGCCTACACGGTCAGGCAGCTAAGTTACCGTCCTCACGATCCAACAGGCTGGGCAGGCTAGAAAGCAGTTATTTTTTTTTAGAATAAGAGGCCGTCTAAGGAATAGCAGAGAATTCCAAAGAGCAGTTTTACAGAATAGGGGTGAGCCTCCTCACCGGGCCGGGACCGGGCCTCCTCTCGCCGCGCGCCCAGCGTCCGCTCCCTACCGGACAGCACGCTCTCCCGCTCCGTGCATCGGGGCTGTGAAGACATCGGGAGACGCGGGGTGCCCGTGAGGTTCCACAGGACGCGCCTGTCACGGGCGGGCCCGGGCGGCCCCGCGGGGCTCCCGCCTCCACCTGCCCGGACCCGCCCGCGGGGACTTCCAGGGACCACGCCCGCCGCGGGCCGCGCCCCGCCCGCCGCCCGCCCTGAACCTGGGCTCCACCCCGCCCGCGGCCTGCGGTGAGGCTCTGCCCCACCCACCTCACCCTGAGCCCAGCCCACCCCACCCCAGCCCTCCCCACCTCACCCTGAGCCCAGCCCACCCCACCCCAGCCCTCCCCACCCCAGCCCTCCCCACCTCACCCTGAGCCCAGCCCACCCCACCCCAGCCCTCCCCACCTCACCCCGGGCCCAGCGACACCCGGGAGCCGCGGGCGAGTCCCCCGAAGTCCCAGTCCGGCCCCCGCCTGCCTAGGGCCCCGCAGCTGCGGACGGACTGCCGGGCGGCGCGAGCGGCTGGGAGGCCGGGACGAGTCGGGGCGGCGGGCGGGGGAGTCAGCAGTTCCGGGCGAAGGCGGCCCGTCGAGCCCGCTCCCCGCGGCCCCGTGGAGGGAAGAGGAACAGGAACCAGAACGCAGAGGGCCTCGCGCCGGAGCCAGGCGGGCGGCGGGCGGCGGGCGGGGCGCCCGATCCCGTCGCGCTGACTCCGCTCGGGGGCGCGGCCCTCCCCGCGTCCGCCCTTGGGTCGGGGGGACGGCTCGCTGCCCTGCGGGGGGGCCGGGACCCCGGTAGCCGCCGGAGCCCGGGCCCGAGGCCGCACGGCCTGAGCGCCTGGCAGGCGGTCTGTTTTGTTCATGTTTAAGCCATGGGCCTCCGAAGGGGGATTTTTGTTTCCTGCTTTTATTTTCAGAACCGAGCTCGTGGGTTGGACCGTCCTCCGCCGTCCTCGCCCGGACCTGCCGCGCACGGCCCCCTCCCCCAGCCGGCGGGGCCCCGCTCGCCTTTCAAACGCGCCGCCGGCAGCTGCGGTGCGGGCGCCGCCAGGTCTCGGGTTGGATCCTGGTCGGGGTGGGCGGGAGGCAGCTGCCCATTGGCGTTTCTGTCTCACGTGGATGTTTCTCTGTCTCCCTCTCCCTTCCTCTCAAAAAATCAATGAGAACATATCCTCAGGCGAGGATTGAAATAAATAAAAATAAGAATATGTGCCGCTAGTAGAAAAATTAGAAGCTACTAACCATTAAAATTGTGATAAAGGTGCAAGTTAGCATACCCTATCAGCCCCCAAAGAGTGTAACATCCATTTATTTTTTAAAATTAAACATACGATGTGGAAGACAGATGCTGTGGTAAAGAGTAGGAGAAAGGATATTTTCAGTGGAACTGGTCATGATGGGAGGCAGAGATGCCTTTTATTTTATAGTCGCTCAGGTGATACGGGCCAAGAAGCTTTACCTGAAAGAGAAAGAATTTGCATATCTGGGAGTTGAAAACAGCATTTGGAGGGGGCAAATGCTTCTATTTCAGTGGTTCTCAACCTTCCTAATGCCCCGACCCTTTCATACAGTTCCTCATGTTGTGGTGACCCCCAATTTCATTGTTACAAATTGGACATAATTAAAGCATAGTGATTACTCACAGAAACAATATGTAATTATATATGTGTTTTCCGATGGTCTTAGGCGACCCCTGTGAAAGGGTCGTTGGACCCCCAAAGGGTTTGAAACCCGATTAGAGAATGGGATCACTAACCCAGAATAGGAGGTCTTTTGTGTCCAGCCCGCACGGCCATGGCATACTCAGCCCCAGGGCGCCTTATGTGCCACGCCAGCTCAGCCTGGTTCAGTGACCCTGAGTGGGGGCGGTGAAAGGCTTCGAAAAGACAGACAAGAGAATGAAAGCTGGGTCTCCTGGGACGCTGCTCCTCTGATGGACAGCGCCAGCGCTCACAAGCCTTGTCTTTATTTTATAGCAGATGCCAGGAGGCAAAGTAGCGGCGTGACTAAGATGTTTAGAGCATTCTCATTGGTTTCAATCCTACTCAACTACATGCACCTGATCTATATCACTCAGGCACGTGGGGCCACGTGTTTGGACCAGTTTCAAGCTTACACTATGGCCGTTGGCTATAATTGTGCTGGGAGGGCTCTGCCCTCCAAGCTGGGACTTGCACGTGGCAATGAGAGGACTGTGCCCTCTCCTCAGTCCAAGGCTTGAACCTGTCCAAAACACTGTAGCCGAGCCCCACAGCCTTTTAGTTACAAAGCCAGTTTAACACATTTATCCGTTTTTATAGACAATGGAGGGAATTAATTTCTTTCATGTTACAATAGTGACAGATTTTTTTAAAAAAACATTTCAGTGTAGAGAAGCGTCAGGGAAGAGAGAATTTGTCATTCTATTTTATTGACATACTGTTTCACTTCATCTGGTCCTACTGCTCATCTTCTAACACTCTCTTACCTCATCTCCAGTCACCAACTGCCATGGTTCTCAATCCTGGCTGCACATCAGCATGACAAGTAGAACTTTAAAAAAATAAATCCAGCCCTAGCTGGTTTGGCGCAGTGGTTGGATTATTGGCCCATGGACTGAAGGGTCCTGGGTTTGATTCGGGTCAAGCTCGATTGCTGGCCCAATCCCTGGCCCTGGTCAGTGCGCAGGCAGGAGGCAACCAATCTATATGTCTCTCTCACATCAGTGTTTCTCTCTCTGTCTCTCCCCCTCCCTTCCACTCTAAAAATCAATGGAAAAAATACCCTCTGGTGAGGATTAACAATCAGTAAATAAATATATAAATCCAGGGACTCCACTCCAGATATACATTTGAAACAATCTCTGGTGGTCAAGTCTAGGCATGTTTTGCTTGCTTTTGTTTTAATCTCTACAGATGATTCATATGCATAATTAGTTTTGAAAAAACACTTCCCCATTCCCAAGCCACTCAAACTCAAGGCTGTTCCTTGGGAGGGCCACATGATTTCATCCTTTACATATGCTATTTCTTCACTTAGAATACTCTTCTCTCTCTTTTTTAAAAATTTATCTTTATTGTTGAAAGTATTACAGATGTCCCTCCCCCCGATTGGTTCCCTCCACTTATTTAACTGATACTTGTTCAAGACCCTTCAAGTTCAAACATAATCTTCCTTAAATTCCCATTTCCTCACCAAGTGGAAGTAATTGCTTCTTTAGCATTTTGTTCATCCAGAAGAAGCCCTCTCATAGATGTGGCATGGACCTATAGCCAAGCAATAAATTGAAAAAAAAAAATTAAACACTGAATTGTACACTATCTTTTGTAAGGATAAACATGCTGGTATATAAATTATGTCTAAATAAATCTGTTTAAAAGGAAGTCAGTCAAACCAGAGAGTCATGAGAAAGTATAACATAAATACCGTAAATATTTTGTTTTATCCTAAAACAACTGTTTGCTCATTTGTCACTAGATTGAGAAAGCCAAGGCCTTTTCTTTATACATGGCCTGCTGAATAGAGTTCTTCATTGTATCTCTTGCATAAACTATGCCTCTAACCATCAGTTAAGCTATCCCAAGATTTTCTTCCTTTAAGAGGAAAATACCTTAAAGACACTTGTGAAGCTGAGTAAGATCTCTTTTTTATAATCTTTCATAGTATCTAACATTCAAAAAACTCACCTTCATTGGGTGTTGCCAAAATATTAAACATAGATTTTAAAGAAACAACAAACTTTATCTCCACACTATTTCATTGGTTTCTGTAACATTTAATTAAATTGTGAAAGCACAGTGATAAGTACAACTGACATAAACAGGTTTGGGAAAAACACAAGTAACCCCTCAGAGTGTACAAATCAATTGGTTAGGAGCAGAACTAGGCAGACTCTCCACAAAGGACCTTCTTAACCATTTAGCATTAAGCATAATATGGGAATTAGCAGCTTACGATTTATAAAATAAATGGAATGAGTTAATTGGTTAGAGATTGTTATTAGACTTAGTATTTCCCTTACCTCCCACATTTTAATTATTTGACTATGTGTCTGTCTCCTTCATAGAGACTTAGAGCACTTCGATGGCAGAGATAGTGCCTGGCTGTTAAGGGGAACTATTAGGGAAATCCCCAGACATTCTCATATTACCATGTAAATCTTCTCACGAGAAGAAGTGGAATTTAAAAAATCTAAACAGTTGTTTTTAAGCCATTTACATTAAGGTCTATGGGTACTTCCAGAAAAAGACATATAACATGCAAATTTTTTTGTTGCAAGCTCTGTTATTTTCCTAAGGTTGCCATAACAGATTACCTCAGATTAGTTGGCTGTAAATGACAAAAATGTATTCTCTCATAGTTATGGAGGCAGTAGTCTCAAATCAAGGTGTTGTCAGGACCATACTCTCTTCAAAGGTTTCCGTGGTTCTAGTTTCTGGTGACTCCATGACTTAGGGCTCTATGGCTTCATCCTTGCATGGTCTACTTTCCTGTGTGTCTGAGTATCAAATCCCCCTTTATTTTTCTCTAATAAGGACATGAGTATGGAAATAAAGAAAGGCCCACCATATAAGAACAAAAGTTACTAATTCACAGCTTGCTGGAGCAAAGGAGCCAGCCACCATCACTTATATTTTGGCAGAGACTCAAAGGCAGGCAGAGAACTGGGAAAGCTTTATAGTGGAAAAAGGGAAATCTTCAAGTATGCCCTGGTTGGAGGTGGTTGGCATGGATAAGCTGTAGTGGACTGACTAGAAGCAGGAGGTTCTATGATTGGTTAAGGATACATATTTGTTTTTGTCTGGTTGATCCCAAGGTGGAAGTGGGGACAAAAATTAGGGAAGCTGTCAGTAATTAATCAAGTACTGGCCATTTGGAGCCAACTGTTAGAGGGGTTGTTTGGTTTTCTCAATTGTTATTAGAGATTATGGTCTTCCTACAAATCTGATTTACAGATTAACAAAATGGCTTCTTGTGCTGGTTACTTTAGATGATGGATGGGTGAGTGGAGGTTTCCTGGGTTGGTTGCTTCAGGGTGTGGGTCACAGTTCTATTTTTATATTTAGTCTGGTCACTGCATATTCAGTCTCTCATCAGCCAATTACTTTGGGGCCCACTCTAAATCCAAGACGATCTCATTTTGAGATCCTTAATCTGCAATGACCCTTTTCCAAATAAGATCACATTCACGGTTTCTGGGGATTAGGACATGAACATATTTTTGGGGAGCACCTTTGAACCCATTACAAGCTCCTCTTGTTTTAGAAGTCATGCTTGATTATTTATAGAGTTAAAAAAGACCTTTCCCCTTATTCTCCTGAATGAGACAAGCAGGTAGGTTATGACTACATTTCACCAAAGAGCTATAATTTTCGAACAGTAGCCTAGATATGTTAAAGCCTGGATTCAAGGTACACACCAGTTCTTGTATGTCTGCTTCCCAAAACAAGATGTTTTTGTAGTCCAGTATCAGTACATTCAGAGAAATCTCATCTTTGGTGGAAAGTTATAAGCAACATGGGTAATGTATAAATATTGTCTATGATAGGATATTAAGGAATACTACAAATCCTCTGGTTTCTTTCTGTTTTCAGCACTCTGAAACTTTAATCTCATTTCCTACTCAAAGAAGAGAATAATCCCATTTCAGTGGATTCTAAGACATTGATATATAACAGGTATGCAATTTTTAAAAAAATGATTCAATTAATTCCTTTTGGATGACTCTGATGATGTTATAATTTCTTGAAAACATGAGGTTGAAAAGACGTACAATCTTCTTTACCTGAAGTATGTATTATTGATTATTACGCATTTGTGCAGTATGTCACATTTTCCCCCTTATGCCTCTTTATTTTTGAAATTGATCTGTGCTGATCTTATTTTATCATGCGCATTATAAAAATAAACCATACTAATAAATTCCTTCAATACCAGGAACAGCTTTTATCTCATATTTCCCCAGATTAATTTTTGTAGCTTGCCTAGTCGAACGTCAGCCCTAATATTAAACTCCCCCTCCCACTTAGAAAACAAAAACAATTCACACTTATGTGAAAATTATCTACACGATTTTTCTTTGCTTGGTTTTTAATAAAATATCCAGTCTAAAAGGTGTAGAGTGAAATTACAAATTAACTACTTACACTACCTAGTAGGTTCACACACCAGCCTTTTTCAATCAAAATGGAAAATGGTGCCTGTGTGACATGGGAGCACTCCTACAATTGCCTCTTCTTAGTTCTTCTAAGCCAGAAGCTCTCAAAAGCCCCAGTGGAGTTTGACAGACTTGCTTTGTTTTGCTCATTACCTTGGAGGGACGTACCAGATGATGAGTTTACAAAAGCTGGAACAATAGCCTTTTTAAAATATCCTCCCAAGGTCCAAGTATAGGAGCTTATCTCATAAATTCAAATGAGATCATGTACAAATCATGCTTATCATAGTACTTTATTACATATTAAGTACCTAGTAAATGTTAATTTGGACCCTAATTGCTTCAAATTCCATCCTTCCTACTTGTTTGATATGTGACCTTTGGCATATTTCCTAATTTCTCCAAGTTGTAGTTTTCTCATCTACAAAATATAGGTAAAAATAAAACCTAGCTTGTAGGATCACTCTGGGGGGGGGGGGGGAATAATCCATGTAAAAGCACTTAAAAGAGTGCTGAGTACTATAGTTAATATAGAATGGTTGATTATTACAGTGTTTCCATTGCATTGTTTTCTGTAAAGCTTTTTTAGTTGAAACTTTTTTTAAACGATTTTGTTTTATATTTAATGTTTGGATAGTTAACTATCAAGTAAGTTAGGTCTTGTTTGTTTATTTTGGAATCAGTCACTTAATTCATCTTTGTATTCCCCATGATGCCTTACATAAAATATGCATCTACATATGTGGTTTCAATGAGAGAGTAATTGATGCCATCCTAGTTAGTCTCTAAACTCTTGTTTTA